GACATTTTTAATTATCCCCACAAAACAAAATCACCCCCCAAAAAGTGATTTTTTCCGAAGTCAGCTTGCAGCCATTTTTCAAGTGGCATGGCAACCCTCAACTTTCGCGGGCACGGACCATTTTTCAACCGTAGTTTTTAGCCATTCTGCTCTCATATGAAAGCTCAAAGACCCAAGGAGTTGATCCTGGCAAGGATTTACACAATCTCACCATTTTGGGGGCCAAACAATCTCCTATACTGCGGGGGAACTTTAAATGCTAATGAGCTGGCCAGAAATTCTCACTTGAATTAGTGGCCCCTCAGCTCAGCATCACTGCGGGTTGCACTAATACATGTACATGTACATGCACTTGTACGTATATGTACATATTTTATGTACATAATACAGTGCAAAATCAGACCGAAATAGCGCCGCCTGTAGATTTCCGGGAAGAGGTTGGCCGTTCTGTTTTTTTTCACTGGAAATTCAAGATTATAGCCAGAAGATCACTTTTCGTTTCAATTTTATGGGGGTTAACCAGATGATTTTGTTTCTTCAAGTTTCCCCGGCGATACCCCCAAAATATGCCCTCAGTTCTGAATGTAGCCGCCCGCCTCTATCCCCAAATAGGCCTGCAATTTGGGGCTTTTTGTGACTCGGAAAGGTCTACCTCGAACTGGAAATTCCCAGTCCCAAATTCAGGATGATATCACAGGTCCGGCGACAATATCCCCCCCCCCTTTGTTTACAATTCTATAGTAGGGCGATACTTGCCACAAGGATCAAACTGCTCTAAAGGGTCCTCCATTATGTGTCACATCGGAAATTTTCCAAGTTTTTGTTTGTTAGGAATTTCTGGGGAGAGGACCTACCCCCTATTTTAAGTAGTATCTATTTTATTCCTTTTTCTCCTGAAGTATAGAAAAAGCCCCCAAATTTAGGTTCACCTGTACCTCAGAAGAATCATTAAAAGAATTTCTACCACATCGCCCAACAATGTTTAGTTTCGTTCCCCCCCCCTCCGAAAATTTGGTCCTAGATCCGCCCTAAGTCGAATTACATGTCGGAATCATTGATTGATTATTTTTTTACTTCAACAGCATGGTATGGTTTTTATGTATCTGGTCGCAATTACTGATTACTCAGTCATGGGGAAAATGCAGGGTATTTTTCTTCAAAGGAAAATGAAAATGGGGGGAGAGCAAACAGTGCCAGGCCCACGTTTAATTTGTAAAATTCCACCGCCGGGGGCGCCTCATTTGTAGCGCTAAAACAGAAAAGGTCTTCATATACGTCACACTGGCCCAGCTACGTAATGAGGTACTTTTCTATGATGGACGGTACCACTAATCAGTACACAGTTTACCTACGAAGGCGAGGCAGAATCCAGACGGGTATGATTTATTCAGTATCGACTCTTTTCTAGCCCGATAGTTTTTATTTTGTAGGTTTGTATTTACACTGTAGATTACTCGATTCTAAAGTAACGGTAAAAAGTTTGTTCGAAGCAAAGTATCGAAAATACATGTACTTGCATGTATATGTTGACGCCACGGATGACCGATGTGTGAGAACATACAGGAGGAAAAGTGGTGGAAAAGGGGACGAAAAATAGGTTTCTTTTGCAGGAAAAAAACTAACCAGTCAGCGATCAGAGAAGAATCAGCGACGAAGACAAAGGTAATTGCTTATGGATGTTAATGAAAATGATGTATTTCTGAACGGGGCAGTGCTTTTCGGTACGCGGTCACAGTCATAGTTAGACAGTCATTGGCTGTCAGGCAGTGCCCGGCATACATGTAGCCCCACTATTGTGGCACGGACCACGGACTCTCACTCCCGCTCCGTATACAGTCGTCCTAATTAATTAACGTCAACACAACTTCAACACACGATAGTAACGTCAACACACCGTCAACACTCCCAAATCACATTCGAAGTAACAGAAACGCAATTCGATAGCAATATACAATTTGGCTAACAACAGTAGGCAACATTTGGGGGGAAAAGCCATTTTATTTCATGAAAATAACACCCTCCGCACAACCACGAAAGACTGTAGCCATGTAGCCTCGATCAGACAGACCATACCATTACGCTACAGGGGGTCACCTTTATACAGTATACCATGGTACAGTCCAAACGCCGTGAGAAGGCAAGATGGCGGCGAACAGCGACGCTGCTCAGAGACGATTTTTTTGCGTGGAAAAAACTCCCTTGAAATGTAGTAAATGTGAACTTGATTAAATAGAAATTATTCCTAAGCATATACATTGCAGTTCAATACGTCTGTTTTCTGTTTTCAATGCTTTTTGTAAGTGTTGGCGGTGTGTTGACGTTACTATCAATGTGTTGACGCTTGTTGACGGTGTGTTGATGCTGATCAGTACGTCCCTCCGTATACGCAATTTCGTGTCGGCGTACTGAAAATGTTCGGCATTTCTTTTGCACACTGAGATGATCCTAAGCCTCTCCAATTTCTTAGCGCCATTTATTGAACGATTTCACTCACGTTGTTCTGGTATTGTCCAGTCTTTTTGCCAAAAATTTTCAGTATGCCGACATGAAATTGTGTATGTGGATGTGTGGCTAAGGATGGAGCAGGAATGAGTCTGTGCCCCACTTGTGGGGCTATGCCTGGCACTAAAATTAACATGATTTGTTAATTGTAGTTAATTGTACGCAGTTCCTATGCATGGCATGTGTATAGCACTGCGCAATGAGTAAGTGAGTGCAAGTTGTGGTCAGTCAAGTGTCATGTCTCTCGTGTAAAGTCCTACAACGTCCCTATACATGCTATAGAGTACTGAAGTTTGATGTGATTTGATTGAGAACCAGGAAGTGCAGTACAGGTAGGCCCAACAAATGAATTGACACTAAGCTGCCCTAGCTCTACTAAGTGGAGTGTTAGTAGGCCTATTCCTCTTTTACGATTTTGGACGAGATTGTCATAACGCTCCACGACATTACATACAGTGAGGTGAAAACGGTAATCAAAAATTCCAAAAACTCACCAAAAATACCTCTATCACACACTCTCTCGCCACCTCCTGGCTTCCGTAAATGCTAACATCAAACAGTTGGGGCTTCAATAATATTTTTGACTTCAAAATCTGTCAAAATCCGACCATTTTGCTTGACACACGCACAGCACTTCAACTTTTCGTTGCCTACTCGCATTAAAAATAGGCCTGTAACAAGCGAACATGGTCCCCCAAAGACGTATGCATGAGCGTGCTTTACATGGTCTGGACACAAGACTTGTTGATCATTACCTATGTCACGTGGTCCCTACCAACAATTATTTCATGATGCCAAATGCAGGCCTGTGCTCGCTGCACGTGCGTTGCACGGGCACATTTAACCTAATACCGCCCTCGTTGAAGATTTGTCATGCAAAAGTGTATACAAACTAGCCCGCCTTTTATCAGTAACCCTGGTGTAGGGGAATGGGGCCTTGCAAAGTGATCAGAGGGTTGCAGACATTTCCAAGAAATTGCTTATCTATACATTGAACTCAGGATGTATGGTGAACTGTCCACTCTTCGCAACTTAACTGTGCCCATGCAACACACGTGCATTGGGCTTGGGTCAATTTTCTCTCCCATATTTTCCATTCATGTAAGTCATTTCAGTTGTTTTTTTATGAGCTCTCTGCCATGTCACTTTATTAACAATGTAAAGGATTGATGTTCAGAAAAGTTTATTTAAAGCGGTCCTTTTCTAGTACCATTTCTTTCCCATGCCAGACTCCTGCTTGTAATCCTAGAAGTAAACAGTAGTATTTTTATAAAGGTAGCCTTGGGTGTTTTCTTCTGCTGAATCCAATTATGACATTTAAAGGATCTTCAGGGCAATGGTAAGATTGTCACCAAGCCCACTTAAAAAAACAATTTGCCCCATTCGGGGGGACATTCTCTCTTGGGGGACTGATTTTGTCTCTGAATAAAAAGACTTGTCTGAGTTTAGGGATAGTCGCTGAGTTGTGATGTACATGTATATTTGTACCATGCCTCTGCTGTTGTACATTTTCTCCCAAATACTCACTTGAAAAGTTTTCAATTTCCATGTGACTGCAAAGAGAAAAAAGGCTGATGTTATGGATGATCGTCAGAGGGAAATTAAGGTCATTACATATTTGGGACAAAGAGCACCAAGAAAGTTGAATGTGTGAATATTTGAATATACATGTAATGTGCGAAATTGGGGTTCTTCATGATATTTGTTAACTAATTTTTTCTACTCAAGAAACATGGTGGCTTGATACGGAATTCTTTGCTCTTGTGTGGTAACCCAGTAAACCACAACAGAAGCAGATTTGGAATTTATGGTGTCGGCAAAGCTTTAATTAAACTCTTGACACACTAGAGGATGCACTTGAACGTGTAAACACTAAAACAGTACATAATACATGTACTTCGTAAGATCAAGTGCGTCATTGCTGCAGTGTGGCCCCTGGTTTGTTAATGCATGTCTCTCTTTATCTCTTATGTGTTCTTTATGGCCCAGTGATTTAGGTTACATAAGCATGGGAAGCAGGCAGACGCAGTAAAATCCTTTCAAACAAACATGAAAATATGGATGTATTGTTTCTGGTGAAGTGCATCAAGACTTTGGTTTGATGTGGCACATAAAAACTGTGTTATTATTATTATTATTATTATTTAAATTGATGATACATGTAAGTGAATCACTTTTGATAATGTTGTTTTGTGGTACTTTGAGAAACTGCAAATTTTGTGCTTATCATAACTAATGAATTTTGTTTCTTCCTCGCAGATGAGAACAGAAAAAATGCAAGGTGACCTTACAAGTGGACCTGGCCCAAATTCAACATGTTTGAAAATATTTTCAGGTAAAATGGCATGTTTTGTATAGAGGGCCTACATGGAGTGCCCTCACAGAGGACCTGTATTTTATTTAGATTTAATGACAGTGAATGCACAAAAGGTTTACTCGAGCCTGTCCTAGAGGAAGAAAGTAATGCCCTTTAACCAAGCCTCAAATTTAACTCTTTTTTTTCACTTACTATGCCCACCTCTGACTTTCCACATACCCATTCCTAAGAATGACTTTCCAATCGGTTCATTGTCAGATTAGGCCAAACGAAATAATAGTTGTCCTGTTACATGTACATTGAAAACAAAATAAGTTGGGTAGGTGGGTAGTATGTTTTTGTTTTCTTCTAAAGTTTTTGGGTCAAAAATGTTATGGTGGGGAAATTTTTCTTAAATTAAGTGTTTTGGATGGTCTACGGTGTATGCCATCAACTGGTTTTTCCGAGGATTTATAACTTGAGGATCAGTCTTGTCAAAGAATGTATCCAAGTCAGAAACCTCTTCGGACAATTACACCTTTTTGTTGCACTGACTTTTCGATGAATTAATGTCCATAAATTGTTTGAAAGCTCGTACAATCAATCACACGACCCCGTGTGATGATAAATGACGCAATAACTTTGCACGCCTTGCACCATTTGTCACGAAATCCTCTATCAGCAAAGCAAAAGTTACTAACTTTATATCAAGACGAATTCATAGTGAAATGTGCACTTCCTGCGAGTTACAGTGGAGATTGTTAGTCACTACGGTACTTTCGCTTACGCAGGAATGGCTATAATGAGTCCCAATGACACAGTTATGAATATTGATGTTTCATTGGTAGCCAATCACAACACGATGACTGGGAGGTCCCAGGATGCTGTTTATACACAAGGCTTATGCTTCGGGCCACACAGATACGTATCACTGTATGCGCATACTGTACATGTCCGTTTGCAGTAATAGATTCAGTCGCATGCATTACATGGAGCTCCAGAACTGTTTGATGGCTGAACGAGGATACATGGGATCGCGGATTGCAGTGTATACAGTTTAGCTTGGTTCCAGGCCGGATGTCCGGCCGTGGGAAACCTGGAGTAAATAAGTTAAATGAGCTAAGTGAAAATAGAAACATTCACACAAGTTTTTCTTTGTTTATAAATGAATTATTCATATGTTTATTCATTATTCTCACTCAATCTCCACCGTGGCTTTAATTCACTCTTGCCCAGCAACTTACCCATTTTTTGAAGTTCCTTACCACTTGGGAAATCCACTTACCGCCGGTAAATGGGTAAGCATTCATTTCGAGGCTTGCCTCTAACTTGACATCATACACAAGGGGTCTGCTGATATATCGTGGGCATTAGAACCCAAACCCTCCTCAATCCTCCAAAATCCTTCTGGTGGTTTTGGAGGATTCTGGAGGAATGATGGTGAATGGCAAAAGTGCATGGCTGATTGTAAAGGATGCCATGAGTGACAGTCGTGGGTTAGACCTTGAGTTGTTCTTGTTCAGTCATGCATAAATTCAGCCTGATATTTCTTTTGAATCAACCGCACTGCTCAAGAATGCCAGTTGCACTGCCTCAACATAATGGCAGGAATTGCCGGAGGATTTTGTAGGATTGAGGCAGTAGGCGTACCTGTAAGTAACATTTTCAAGAAATTTTGGAGTATTTTGGAAGATCGAGGGAGAATCCAATTTTTTCATCCCTCAAATTGGAGGATTGAGGAGGGTCCGTAGCAAAACGGACCTAGGGGGTTAGGGTTAGTGGATGCTTGTGCATTAGTTTTTCAGCTTTCTGTCAAATATATTCAGTACTGAAGTTATCAGCAGGGTACATGTATGTGCTGAAATAAGTAGGCAAATTATCCGTACACTTGATTTTCTGCTGCTGTCTATTACCCCAGTGCTTGCACTGGTATAAAATTACATGTACGGTACACTTAACTTTGTGGTAACACATGCTTCAAAATCAAGGATCCTACAGGTTTCCCAAAGGCTCTTTCATTATATACCTTTACCGCTGCACCTAAGCTTGTTTGCTTACTACATGTACTGAGAACGTCAGTTGCCCCAACTTGAACTTTAGCCAAGTTGATAAAACATCCAGGCAAATTAAAACGGTGCCTTCCTGTGCATAACACAAAGTAACAGGGGTGGTTCTATCATCAGTAGGTGTGTTTGTACTTGTAGGAAGATGTACATGTATGTGTGGACTGTATACATATTCACATACACGGGTACATAAACATGTAGATGTATTGTAGACTACATTTGTAGTAGAGGATTATGACTGATAAAGTTTACAGTTGATAAAGTGAAACTTATGCAATCAAATGGAAAAATCTTACTTATCGATACATTTCAATTTGATGTGGTTTCCAGATAAAAATAGACTTGCGGTGTGGGTTACACAAACTGCATGGCGTAGTAAATCCTTCTATGTGGATTGATTTGAAGCATGCATGCATACATGTACAATTATTGTTGGCACCTGTTCAGTGTTGGTGTAAAATCTAGTAATTGGATGACTCAGTGTAAGTGACTCAACTTCTGTAGACTAACATCAAATGGATTGAAAACGGTTTGAAGGGACAGACTTCAATAAAATACTGAGACTACATGTACAAGTTTATTCTATTCAATAAAAAGGCACACAAATTAAAAGAAACATGTTGTTAAGTGATACACTTTATAGTACCAAATCTTTTTACTCAAAACTCAGTAGACAGTTGCATTAAACTTAGTATCCTTGAATGCCAGTGCATTTTTGCTTGGGACCTTCCTGAATTCTCCAAAATAACTGCACAGGAATCCATAGGCACATCGTTTGCTCTTTTTCAATTGCAAAGGGCACTTACATGAAATGGTAATGCATATGTGTATCTCCATGGTAACCTTCAGACTGATCTTAGGACCTCCTAATTGATGCATGTGTGGAAGGAACGAGGAAGATTAGAATTTTGATTAAAAGAAAAAAGTTCTTTATGCAAAGGTGAGTTCATTCTGAGGTTTTTGTCCCTGTATGGTCTTGGACTACCGGTACTTATAGAAATGTTTCGATGTAAGGCCTGTTGTGTTTTCAATTTCAAGCATTGTATGCACTGTTCTACCTCTCTGAATATCTTGCTCTAGCAAGTACAGTACTGTATTTGATACAATAAGATGAAGATGGATGACATCACAAGTTTCAGTATTTGTCAGCTTGGATGAATCGAAAACCTTTTTACTCAAATTTACTTGGATATAATCTGTTGAAGTATAAATGTATGTATGCAGGCCTATTGCAGCGCAGTAATGACATGAATGATATGGAATCAAGGCCTATGTGTACATGTACAGCAAAATATAACTAGATATTTCATATTTTGGGTTGCTATTTCCTTCTCTAATATTCACGTTTGTGTGTACATGTACATTGTGCATGATGCATACATGTACGATACAATGCAAAAAATTTGCAAGGTCATTGCTATTCTGTTTGTGGATGACCCTTCTTGCTTGAATTGATTCTAGTGTTGAAAGAAGCCAGTCTGGATTGTAAAGCAAGATTCAGTTGTGTGCGTGTGTTGGGGGATTTTCCTGCTCAGTGTTCTCATTGTGTATATGTTAATTGGGGATGTGTTCATCTACGTATTTACACATGTAACTTTCTTACAGCAGAAAATGTCCAAAATCCAACATTTATAGCGTACATTATGTGTATTTAGAACTACTGACAAATGTCTTGTTACTGAACACGTTTTGACAGTACATGTGCCTGTACTGTGTAAAAGCATACATGTATGGATGTGCAGCTTTGAGTTACCATTAAAATATTGCATTTGCGCAGATTCAGGAAGTTGAGTTTTACTTACTGCAAACCACCAGATACAGGTAGTCATGGCTGAGACCCCCCCGACCTGTTGCCCCTTGATGTGCCTGAAATTTTCTATTCTGACATGTCAAATGTTAACACAATTTTTATGTTTGTTTTTTTTATGTTTTCTTGCAGTTTTGCTGATATTCTTGTACAAGGCAGCTGAATGCGTAAACGCAGGTATTTTGTCATATGATGTCCTGTCACTGAAAGTTCTTGATCCGGAAATCAAGATTCTTGAGTTAGAAAGAAAAAAAAAAGACAACAGTTGGATAACATATGATTGCCTCGAAGGTTGGGACGTTTTGGTTTGAACTGATATGAACAGGTGTACCAAGTCGTGCACAAAGTGTCCACAAACTTACTGGTACACATTACAGATCAGGTTGCAGATGAAATAGTGTGTAGCAAGATACGTCACACTTGGCCTTGTCAGAAAACATAGAAAAGCAAGTGCACTAACCAACATAATTGACCCTAAAATTAGATGAGATAAATTTAGTGACTTGAAGTACATGTAAGTTGGATCCTTTGTGCTGTGAAGGGAAGACCGGTTCACCTGTAGTACTTTCTGCTTAAATTGCACGAATACATTAATAAAATTCCACATGGAGCATCTGTTTTGGTTTTTAATTTGAAATTATGCACTTACCCAGCCGGTTTCCTTGAGGCTGATTTTAAACATACACACTTTAGTCCAAACTTTTGTTGCAGTAGAACTATATGTGCGTGTACAGATAAATGCCTTCATGTGTGGTTTCTCCTTTTGTGACTGTGTTAAGACTGTGGCCAAACCTTGCAAGAGTTCAGAGGAAATGTCACAAGCCCTAATTACCCTGGTAACTATCCCAACGGTGAAGCTTGCAAATGGCACATTCCTTCTGCTATCACAGAGATCGTCACTATCAGGTAAGAAAATGGCCACTGGAAGGGAGATGGTATTATCTAAGACTTTTGGGGTTAAAGATTGCACTTTCATTTGATTTTACCCAAAGAGGGTCACCAGGAAGAGATTTTGTCTTGGTACTTTGCTGGAGGACAGGTTCCCTAATCTTATGAAATGTTATAAGATGCAACTTTGATCCAGTCACTGAGAACACTTACCGTAATGAGCCAGTTTAGTACCGATATTTCAAAACGCCAAGATTTTTCAGGAACAAAACACTGGTGTGAATCAGCGTATGGCTGCATTGATGGGACAGACTATCATGCATGTGTGTAACTGCTCCTGAATAGCCTTATCATGGGCATGCACTGTTGGAATGTACTGAACTGGCTCCTTGTTAACATGCATGTTTAGAACAGCTACAAGAAATGCATGGAAGGTAGTTTACTTAAATACTTCCTACTTGAGTCCCCATGTACATACATACATGTAGTTTAACTGGGCAACTTCATGTGTTTATTTGTCAACAGATTCATCTATTTCAACATCGTTCACAGCAAGAACTGTGAAGAAGATAACTTATCAATAGGTTCCGAAGGGAATGTAAATGTATACTGTGGTTCTTCATTACCCCAACCATTTTTCTCAGAGGAGGCATCTACAAAAATAATCATATCCTTCTTGAGTAACGGACGAGACAGTGCCAAGGGCTTCAAGATAGAATATTTCAGAGGTGTGTACTGAAACAAAATCTCTCTTTTTAGCTAACTCACTAAATGCATCACAATTTTCTTACCAAAATACATTGATGTTTGGGCCTCGATAGTACAACTCCTCAACCTTATTTGACTTGAGGGACAAAGAAAACCTGTTTATCCATTAATATTTGTCCACCTTCCTCTGACAGACAGAGGACAAGGAAGCAGACAACCTTGTTCGTTAACATTATTTTCACTCAGTAATCGGCATGAATCTTATCAATGAGGCATTCTTTTTACAGTCTTGAAGAAAGTACCCCATTTGCATTGCTACCTACAACAGCAAATTCTGGAATGTATAAAACACTTTTATGAGAGACAACAAAATTGTTTGCTCGTTATTCACCAATTTGAACCAGTGCTTAACCACATCCAAGTTTCAGTTTTCATTTAGTCAGGACAATAACGTTACACAGGCATAACTAAAGTCATGAAAATGCACAACCAATGAACAAAGCAGAAACATATTTCTTGTCAGAGGCATGAAAACAAGTCCCTAACCTGAGTAATTTCTTCAGACAATTTGCCTAAAGGATATTTCTTCAGACAATTTGCCTAAAGGATCACCCAGAAATATCTAAGGATCGGTTGAATTCCCCATCTGCAGGTGATAGACATGCTACCAGGTGTGACCAAAACACAGAATTTCACTGCAGTATTGGTAATTGCATACCACGGAGTTGGATGTGTAACGATGTAAGGGAATGCATTGATGGTTCAGATGAGAGCAATAGTTACTGCCATCAAGGTAAAGGAAGAAAACTTGCTAATATAAGATAGTTACAGGAATTTCACATACACGGTAGCTGTAGCACTCACATAGCAGGATTTATTTGAGGAACATCTGTTCTTAGCCACAGTGAGTTAAGTCTCCAGTTCACTTTCTTTATTTGCTTAAGTTAAATCAAATGCACGCTGTCAATTGGGATTCTAAATATTTCTATTCCTCCTACTGATAAGATCCCAAGAAAGTAATTTCACTCTTCTGTTCTCACAAGAAGATTTGTACTTTTTCTGCCTCATAGATTTTGTCCGTTAACTTTTGAAGTTCCGGTTTATGATGTACCTGGTACATTATTGATCCTGTAGTCTCAAAGGTATTGTTAGATTCGCGTGTACTAGTCTGCTGTTGTTGACTATCCCGAGCATCAAAGTTTTACAAACATGTACACTCCCCTTTGTCGTACGATGCTGCCTTCAGTTGGAATACATTTTAGGAATAAATAAACTTTTTCATTAAATGAGGATATAACTTCAAAATGATGCCTTCCTTTGCAGTGACTACTTCAGCATATACCACTCCACCAATCGAGTGTCCTAACCATCAGTTCTTCTGCTATAGTGTAAATCATCACTTGCCAATTTGTTTGGAAGAATCCTCGAAATGCGATGGCCACAAAGACTGCGAAGATAACCGAGATGAGGCTCCTTGTTCCTCAGTCTGTAAAAATTTCCTGAAAGGTAAGAAGGCAGTGAGAGAATGGAGGAAAGGGGAACTGAGATACTGAATGCTGATTCTTATTAGAATTGTCTGGAATATTAGCCATGAAAGTGGCCAAAGTGCCCTATAACAAATCAACTTTAATCTGTGATCACATCACTATAAATGACTGAGAACACGCTTTCGCAGTTTGAATGTCATAAGTCCAAAACACAGGGGAAAATGCTTTCACAGTTGGAATGTCAAAAGTCAAAAACACAGGGAAAATGCGAACAGAATTTTGGCTTTGTAAACTTCATCTTCGATGAGATGTTTGTATTCCCAAATCTGAGTTTGTTCAATAAATGCCCAAAGTCATAAAATATGGCTGATGTGCAACTGTGATTTCATGGTCTGTGAAATGCCACTACCCCAGAAGGGTCTATCATTAAAACTAATGTCATAATCATACATGCAATCAAATTGGAGGGGGGTTTAGCCAAATGTTAAGAGCATCTAACTGTCAGTATTTCTCGTATTAGCGTTTTTTGCTCAACCTTCCTTGATTTTCAACCCCAGTGTTTCTTAGGCAAGTCTGTTTTGGTTCCTCAGCTGTCATTTTTCATTACTGTTGATTTTTTTTTAAGTATTAATTAGAACTGTGTTGACTTTCTTATGGTATATAATTCTGGGTATTTATGTCCAGAAGTTAAGGATTTGGAATTTCTTTCATTTTCGGCATTTGTATGTTTCATATTGTACTTAAGGAGCTTCCTTCAGTAAAATTTTATGTTTTCTGTGCTAATTTTTCTCCCTTACCACTTGATTTTTTCATTCTGTTTCTTTGGTACGCAGGAACTCATGGGTCTTTTGAATCGCCCAACTTCCCCGCAGCTTATGATCCCAATCTTGACTGTTTTTGGGTTCTTACCGTTGAAGAAGGAAAGAACATCCAGCTTCGATTTGATGTCTTTGATCTGGAAGGAAAATATGACACAGATTACGTCAAGGTGTATGATGGCCCAGAAGTCACGGTTAGGATGCATAATAAATTTGCTTACTGATGAAGGATTTGGATCATTTTCAATAAATGCCTTTCTAATCAAAATGCTTGTGCCTTATGCACGTACTGTAGTACATTCATTTCATGCAGATGTCGTCACCGTAGACAAGGTTCTTCGTAGGTACAGCTTGAGTATGAGTGCCATTGTTTTGACCATTTTTTCCTTTCATTTGCAAAGTTTCCAAGGTTCTTGTCAACCAATGTGGTGTATAGCCAGAAATGTTGAGGCAGGTACCTCCTCTTATTGATATGTAGATTGTTTTCATTTGATGTCTTTGGCAATAGGATAAATTGTTGGGTACCTACTATGGCTTCACCACATCAGAGGGCACAAAAAGCATCTATATGCCACCTGCTGTCATAGATGGTTCAAGCAATCAACTGAGAGTAAGGTTTATAACAGATGCCATCTCTTCCAACAAGGGCTTCAATGCTACCTTCCAGACAAAAGGTATATAGACAAATCAAGTTACACATCATGGATGTGGTAATTGGTAGCTTCAGAAATTCCAAGGTTTTTTGCAAGAGACACATTTTAATCCAACAAAATGCTTGCAACGTGTAAAACTCAAAATATGTGGCATTTCTCACACTGTACACCACATGTAGGAACTCTGGCCCTTCAAAACCCTACAAGGGAATCCAAGTTTTGCATCTTCAAACACTTCCATTGTTTCTAAAAGGTTTCACTGAATTTAAATGACACTGATGAGATGTCGCCTCCAGGTGTGAGGGTTAATACCCACTGGTAGTGAGTGACAGACTCTCTCATTGTGCGACGTCTCATCTTGGTTTCAAAACTTTGGAACTTTTTAAGTTGAATTTGTTCACTTGTTCCACAGGTGTTTGCCTCAGGGACCAGTTTCTCTGCAGCAACGAGGACAAGAATTGCTATGATGCAAGGCAGCGATGTGATGGCATAATGGCATGCATCAGAGGACAGGACGAGTTGGGTTGCTCAGGTAAGTCGAAGTAATGAAGGAATACCTTGCCTGTTGAGGTTGCTGGAGAGTGGATCAAGAAAGTGAAAGTCATAATTGAATTAATTTGCTAGTACATCATAAGAAAGAAGGGTTATTGTGAGTAGAGAAGGTTTGTGTGACCATGGATTTGATTTTTGCTCTCAGTACATTACTGAGAGTACCAAGACTTTGAGTAGTCTCTATGTATGACATAAAATTTAGACAAAATGTCCAAATATAGCAGTCTGTGACTACATTGCCATTGGCACTGTAGCGGGCACATGTACAGATTGTCCCAGAAAAAATTTACCCAAATGGTGCCCCTAATTTGAGGTCTTAATAAAAAAATTTGTGTGAATGATTTGCATGTATTTGAAAAATGTGATTTCGGGTTATCTTATGCACACACATTTCCAACAGTCAATATGACTTTTGATCAGCAGAAATAACAGTGTGCTGTCATTGTGATTAAAGTCATTTTGAATCTCGCAAGACTTGAAAAACCTATTTAATGTTATGACAACAACGTTCAGGACAGTGTAACACAACCAATAAAATCAAAGACCTCCAATAGAACTGCCAAATAGTTGCTGTTGAATTATACTCTCTATGCTAAGCTTTCTAAGCTAATGAATTATACTTTCAAAATATTTACAGATTATGTGCAAATTGCTTAATAAAGACCTTGAATTTGGTCTTTAAGTTACCCTAATGACACCCCAGTGTCATTGGAGTAATTTTTTTTTCCTGTAGTAGGATGCAAAAGATGGTAAATGTAATTTTGTATACAACCGCATTTTATTCCCATGCAGGATAATTTTAGAATGGCTCAGGAAAAGTGCTTGATCATAATTTATTATGGAATTAGATGACTATTCTCTTCATATTAGTAAACAGTAACAAAGTAGAACAAGAAGTAAACATCCCGGGAGAGGGGAAATACATGAGCTTAAACTTTCTCAAATTCAGCAATCTCTTTTCCACCCATTGTTTCCTCATTCTCAGATACCTGCAAAGACCAAATCTCCTGCAGCTTGAAATCACCTAGTGCTAGAGACTGCTTCACCATGGAGGAGCGCTGTGATGGCAAACGAGATTGTACAAATAATGTAGATGAGAAGCTCTGTGATCCCAGCTTGTGTATGGCTGATAAAGGGTTGTTCCGCTGTAATGATGGAACATGCATACAAGAAAAGTACACCTGTAACTCTGCTGTAGATTGCCTACATGGAGAGGATGAAGCCATCTGTTGTAAGTTGGAATACTTCTCTTGCCTTTCACCAGTGTTAGTTATTGCCTCATAAGCTCAAGACTTTCTGAGAACTTTTTTTGTAGCTCAGTGCCCAATTCTGAATCTTTGGAGTTTCTTTGATGGGGATTTTAATCTGAGTGCTGCAATATTTAATTAAATTGTTTCCCTCCTAGTTTAATTTCCTCAAAGGCAAAGACAAGAATTGGCACTAATTATCTTCAAGATGCTCTCATAATAAAGATCTGAAGTGGAAATGCTTTCGAGTAATCTCGCCTCGCCCCCCCAGAAAGAGTTGGCTTTGTATTAGTTTATTTATTATACAGCAGCACTTAGACATTGTTAGAAATTTTAATCATTTTGGATTATTTAGGAAAACTGGATGGAACAACACTTGTATTTGCAAGTTTGTTTGGAATGGCTTAGTTGTCAGTAAGACAAGAGTTTTCATGTTTTTTCAAAGTTTTGAATTCCTTCATGAGATAACAGTTGACCCCGTTTGTGTCAATTTTATGATTTTGCAGATGCCTCTACTAATGTTGTCACTGCTGCAGCTGTAGGATCCATTGTCTGTGGCCTTTTATTGGTTGCTGCATTAAGCTGCACCTGTAAGCTGTATCAACTTCATGTCCGTGAGCGTCTTCCTCCCTCTCACATGTCACCTCTACGGGAAATTGAAGAGGAGCTGCTTCGTCGTGAGGCCCCACCATCTTATACAGCAACCATGGCTTCTCCCCATTTTGACGAAGCTCAAAGGGCCTTCATTGAGGGCATTCAGGCTGCTGTGCTTGCTCGGAATGATTCCAGAGGCTCTGGTAGGAGCAGCAGTGGTAGCAGGAGACAGAGGAGTACGTTTGTACGCATGCTGTCAAGAGAACGCATGAGAAATACTGATCAGACCCATATTGATCAGGATGACAGTACCACTCCAAGTCAGACTGAAACACTACCACCTAGTCCGGATGTTGAGTCTACAACTCCTCCAGGAGAGACCAGTCATTGTGAAAATGACCCACCACCTCTGCGTCGAATCTCTGCAGAACAGAGTGCTCCTATCGTGAGTCCTAGTCCAGCTGAAGGTGTCTCACACTCTGACAGAGATCAAGAGCATGATTCGGCTTCAAGCTGTGTTTCAGACACAGACTCTGAGACAAATCAAGATGCCCTGCACTTAGCTGCAAGGGATCAGCAGATCCTTAGGGCTGCTGCCAACATCCGCCGAATGCGTCTTGCTGGTGGTCTGCAGAATGTAATGCAAGCACAAGATCACAGAGCAGCAAGGAATCGCAGCAGGACTGGAAGTCTGGTTGACCAAGTACCGGCAAATTCAGCACCAGATGAAGACTCAACCATACCAACAACTGATGGGAATCCTAAAATGGTGGCAGCAGTGGGATCAACCTGTGAAAGTACTAGTGATGAGACTGACACTGCAGCCAAGGGCTCAGGAGTTACACAAGATGGCACAGATGAGATCCAAGAGAATTTCCAGGACTCACATGTATCACAAGGACAAGATGAATTGGAAGGCAGATCAACTTTTGAAACTGACAACCCTCAGTCACCTAGTGAGACATGTGCCCCTGATGGAAGAGAAAGAAGTACTCAAGAAGAAGCAGCAGCAGACAGAGATTTAGATGAAGAGAGACTTAGCCACTCCTCATCCATTCTGTCTGTAGTGTCCAGTAGCTCTGAGAATACACCTGATGATGTGCCTTTGTTGAAACCCTAACATATTCAAAAGCTATGCAAATGATTAGTTTTTTGATTTAAACATTCATCATGGAGAATCGTACTTCAAAGGCTGTCCTTTTACAGTCCGTTATTAAAGTCAACATACTCAGTTAAACCACACACAAGCCAACATTGTTAAGCCTGCTGCAGTGGTTAAAAAAATACATAGGTTGCAATCCCAATAATTTTGTACATTCATTTTTGTCACCTGTATTTTCTAAAGTGCACACTTGCGTATATACAGTGTGTGATTACTCAGTAAGATGAGTAAGGAACTGTCTTTGTATTCAGCTACTGTAGTATCTTGTTTCCTGTTTTGATCAGTACTTAATGGGCTGGTTAATGACTGCCTCAATCCACCAATCAATGGTGATTTTACCACTGCTTGCAAATATCTGTAAATTGCAAAATCTACCTGCACTCAATTTAGAAATTTTAACACGTTTTGTATAGTAATGTATAAAATTGCTTGATGTTCTGCTGGGTTTGAGAACAGTTAACCACTTATTTCTCTTTTTTTTTCAGAAAGTTTTTTGGGGCAAATAATGTGATATTATAGTATGTGTGAATGTTGTGTATTTAATTTTTATAGCAAGCATAAATTTAAATCAAATAGCTATTTTTCTTTTAATGTAAGCATTTATATCATCTGTAAATGATTCACCGAAAGTGTAAAGATAGAACAGTTTCTTTGTATAGCCACTGTACATTCCAGAAATGAAAATGATGTATGAAAACAAGACACCTGTCAACGGAGGTACTTGTAGTTACTCTTGTTTTCCTTTGCAAAATTAACCACTACATGTACTCAACTCCACATATTTGGGACAAAACTACAGAAGGGACACAGTTACATATGCCTAACAGAAAATCAAATGCTTTGAGCTGAAGAGGTAAAATGAATATGAAATTTATGTTTGTTTAATCATATGTTCAGTACTCTAGCCCCAGAGAAGGAAAACAGTTATTTTTAGTCAACTTAGGAAAGATATATAAGGAATAAATCAACATAACTAAAGTTTTTACTGAAGGAAAATTGCTAAATGTAGTCTTTGCTAAAAGCAAAAGACTTTGATTTTCATGTTATTGTTGTCTTTCAGAATTCAGGTTTCAAAGAAGCAAAAACCAAATGGCCAAAATTATTAAATTGGATAATGAATCTTTTGGTGTTCAAGAAATGGCAGTTTTTGGTTCAATTTATCTATATATTCAAGTTCAATGAAAATATTTTGCTCATATGTATTAAGTGGTGGACATGTAAATGTGTCTCATTTCTTAGAGTTGCTCTTCAGCACAAAATGATATATAAGTGTATTATTTGAAGCAAACAATTATGTAAATATGAAACTTTTGCCTCAAGATGTGACTGGCATACACAGGAGAAATTATTTTATTAAAAGTCATGCTTGAATAACCCTTTTGCAAGTTAAATTTGAATAAAATCTAGCACTCTGAGTCCTTTGATTTCACAAGAATATAACAATATGAATTCACGTTACTACATATACTGTTACTATACTTCATGATTTTGGGCAAGCTTTTGCTTAGTTATACAAGAGATGCCTTGCATCAATACTCTGTTTTCAGTGGATAACAAGGGCACAAAGGAACCAGTCCATTCCAGAGATGGTGGTCACTATGCAAAAGCTTGCCCCAAATCACGAGGTATAGCAACTGTGTCATCAGTCTGGGAAATTCAAATTGTTATGTTTATGTGCAATTGGATAACTCAGTGTACTAGATTTTATTCAAAGTTAACTCACAAAAAGCATATTTTATTAACTACAGTGCATGCTCTTTTACAAAGTCCAACACTAGATGTATGTTATTTTATGGATGTACATGTTTTCTACGTTCTGATGACAGTTTGTGTCATTTCAGATCATGGATCTCTGTAAGATAATTTGAGCCAAGATTGATACCGTGAACATCCTGCATACACCATGAACTCTACCACTGTCATTGATACCCGAACAT